TTTGACGGCGCCACTTTCCTTTGAACATACGGCGTCGATGATCTGACTTGACTTCGTACACGGACCATTGCGAGGAACTGCGAAGGCCAACAACTTGATCGTATCGATGGAGAAGCACTTGAAGCGCCTGGTGGAATCGTTCCGTAGGAATGGACGTGAAGAAGCCTGACAGGTCTTGCGACACCAGGTGGATGTACTCATCAGGATCTGCTTTTGACAGTGATTCCCACAGCTGCTGGATAAGTTCTTGTACTGAAAGTTGACCTGCAATGTCGGGGAAGGCAGCCTTGGTAAGTTCAAATATGAGTGCACCGAAGACCGTGAGGAAGGGAGCTGCCCATGTGCGAAAGAATGAAATGATGGGTCGAGCTTTCTGCCAGTCCTTGGTCGGCTTTGGGAGGATGCGCGCTGTGGGCAACGGTGCTTGAAGTCGAAGTCCCCATGCATATCGTTGACGTAGGAGAGAAGGTACCGTGGTTACCACTTCAGAGCGAAAGGATGCTGCGGATTCGCGGCAGAGTGAGAAGACATCCCCCGAGCAGAATGTCTTCCGCATCAGTATGGCAAACAGGGACGGGCACATCACATGTGCGCGGGAGGGAAAATGATCCGCTGGGATAACTACCCACGAAGACAAAGAAGCCACAGTGCGTTGCAACGATGTCGATGACCAGTAAGCCCGATCTTGGAGGTTCATCCGATGAGTATCCATTAACTGAGTCACAACCGGCTGTAGATCTGAAAGTAGACTGGAACCATGTACATGCCAGCGGCGAGCAAGTTTGCGAAGTTGTGTGGTGAAACGTTGATGCAATAAGTCGACATCACCGAAAAACTGATCCTTCATTGAGGCGGCCATGATTTCAACGTTAATGTCCGCATTGATGCGAGAAAACTCATCCACCATTACTGCGTGACCATGTGCACGGTGTAGATGGTGATCATCGATGTCCAAACAGCGACACGGAAAGGACGTTTCAGGAGTCCATTTGCGCTGCCATGTGCGATAGTTGTATATCTTGTCGCCCAATGTGGCGCTGCGAGTTTCCACAACCCGGATCTTTGGAATGAAAAGAGAAGGGAACAGATCCCGATGAGAAGCAATCCAGCTTTGTAACCATGTGCCAAGTAGAGCTTTCCAATTCTGGACATGTAGCGGCGGTAAGAGTAGCTGTGTCAAAGTGGTGGGTGGTTGTAGCCGTCGTTTGCGCAGTACCTGGGCGAGGAGCTTCTGGGCCTTGGAGCGGAAGGGCTCGTTGACAAAGACTGCGAGCCGCAATAAGTAGTACAGCTGAGTGGGAGGGAAAGCGGCCGACAGTAGGTCACGCATGACTTGGAACGACGCTCCTGTATTCGATCCCAGCTGATAGAGAATCGAGTAGTGGGCTTGAATGTCATCCAGGATGTCAGGTCGTAGTTGCCGTTGGAGATCCGGATGTAGTCGTCGTCGAAAGCGCTTGTGCAAGCCGAGGGAAGTGGGAGACGACAACGAGTGGCGTCGAAAATCTACAAGATGTTCCCGGAAGCCCACCTTGCGCAAGATTCTGTGTACCCAGGGCGCATTCAAATGCGGGCGTAGCAGGTATTGCCATTTGCTTTCTTGAACCCACACCGAGGAAACTGGAAGTTTGATTTCCACTGGTACAGCACAGAAGAGCCAGTAAGTATTGGATCGTTTCCAGTAGTGAAGCGCCGGTTCAAAGAAGGCATGCCGTCCACGAAGTAGTTGTAGAAATTTGCGACTGCGTGAGTGTTCACGACGTAGAACATCCTGATCAGTCGCCCCAACATAGTATGGTGTGTGCCATGGGGAAAGTCGAATGTAGACGCACGGTTGTTGGTGATGACCTGGATCATGTATGAAGTCGTAGAGGTCAGGAAATCGCGCCCGCAATGAGCGTAGATGTCGCGTGTCAGCGAAAGTTGAGTGCATGATTTCACACAAGAGAGAAGTCTTGTAGAAGTGAAGGACTTCGAAGAACGGCGGGAAGTAGCCGTGATCTTGTGAAATGAGACGTTGTAAGAAACTGATCAATAAATAGGCAGCGCACCGACATCTGTGAAGCTCGTACCTGTTGGCCACGGTGTGCTGAGAGTTTGACATAGCGTGATTCGGAATCTGAAGGGCTATCCGGACCACAACTAAGACCTCGAGGATGAGACCCAGCCACGGCAATTGTGTGATGGATTCGTACTCCTCAATTGGAATCGACGGTGGTGGTAGTCCAGGAAAACAGTACTGCCAGCACGTAGGGAATATGGTCAACGAGTGCAGAAGGTCGTCCAGCGACTGCCATTGTGCAACCTCATCATAGATTCCGCAGCGGCGAAGTTCATCCAACATGGTGAGATGCAACCAACGAAATCTACCACAAGGCGGCGACATGAATACAAGCATCACAGACAATCACACAAGGGACAATGCAAGAACGATCAAGTACAAGATCAATCTGGTGCAGCGCAGACACTTGACGGACGAGTTTTCACCTGGACTCATCCGTGACATTGTTGCCGCTCCGGGCTCATATGAGAACGAAGGTCAGTATGATGCCTTCTCATCCACAGAGTAGGCGAGCGGTCACGATGAGGTGACTCAATGCCTTCTCAGTGAGTTTGGTAAGATAGCCGGGTTCTAGTCCCCACGAAGCCGCCATTGCCCCGAGAGTGGGTGCATCGCCTTTCGGCATGCGTTGCCGCGCCTGAAGGAGCTGCGTCGCCATAGAATCTAATGACTTGTTGCCGTTGAGCCGGGTCGGATGATTGGCCCACTTAACCAGCGATGCCAAAGTGGTAGTTGTGGGTGCTTGCTTGAGATAAAGGCGAGGTTGGTCACTGGTCCATGTGTAGTACTTGACAACTTCATCCGGCGTGCTGTGCATGGTGAGCAATTGTGATGCCGCCGGTTTAGACGGCGGTGACGACACTCCGTGAAGAGACTGTATGATCCGAGGTTGCACCACGCTATCAAACGACTTGCCATCCAGGGCGGCCGCGCTGGCTGTGGGAAGGGAGCTGGCAGGTGACGAGGATGGTGTGTGGTTGACCGGTGGCGGCGTAACCAACTCGGCATCATCCTTCTGGTTTGTCATCGTGGGAGAGGTCGATGCGCGAAGTGATGCGGAATACTGAGCTTGGAGAAGTTCGTGTGCACGATTCAAATCTTTGAACTTTTTGACCATGTCATCGGTCTGGGCGGCAGGTGCGAGAGAGGTGTGATGTTGTTGAAGAAATTGAAGTACCAAGTTGGCCAAATGGTCGTGGACCTTGATGCGCTGATTGAAGTCATCGATGTTGAGACCCAGCGTGTTGGCAAGGTCCTTTTCCAGGGTGAGCAGGTTGAGTGACTGTGATCTTCGTAGTAATTTGGAACAGGTACTCCAAAGTAAGGCCTCGGTGCGGGTGCGAAAGCCTTCCCACGTCACGAATCGGCCATGTGCAAACGGCCTGAGAAGCCAGTTGGTGAGGCCCCCGTGGATAACCTGAACCAGGCGTACGTCCCTAATATCCATGCCTGACATGTCGCGAAGGTTGCCATGCGGAGTGTTGGCAACAGTCATGGGCAAGCTGAAGTTGTAGAGTTGATTGACATCAAACATGCCGTCTCCAGGTGTCCAGTCAGGTGAGGGAGTAAGCCAGGCTTTCTGAGGACGAACCGGTAGAGCCGCAGGGGGTCCAGGTGACGGTGTAGGTTGGGAAGTAGTAACCGGTGGTGGCATCACTGGTGGCATGAACTTGGATGGCGTGGGATCTGGAGGGATCGGCATCATGTAGTTGATCGCTGGGTATTGGAATTGTTGCGTGGGATTGTGAGTCGATTGAAAGTTGGTGGGCATCATCGGAAAGTTGTTGGCAGCGTTGTAGCCGGAATTGTGTTGCCATGAAACCAAGTTGTTCCAATCCATGTTCTCCGAGACCTGGTTGTCATTGTGCTCACGTCGGCGTGATTTGTGAGCTTGAGGGGACGGACTCCGATCACGTCTGCGCCGAGTCCTGGATCTATCACGATCATCACGTCGAGACATGGTGACGCAACTGAATCTGAATCTGCACACTTCCACCTTGAGAGAATCGGACCCGAGAACATTCAAATCAAGGCAAATGCAAGTTAGCGACCCTCAGCTGCAATGGTCGATCTACATGTACAAGGCAAAGCAAATACAAGGCAGCAATCGTCAACCGCAATGATACGAGCAACCAGTTCAACCAATGGTCAGCAACTGCAATGAATGTCGGCAGCCATCAGTTGTGGTGAGACGTCACTATGATCTGACGGCTTTCTTCCCTTTAGTGAAACCTCGTTCCTGGTTAAATGTGAAATTCCGCTGTTCTATGATAAGCACGTTGAGGTCAAATTTTCCGACAGAGCCGGCCCGGGGTCACACAATGGGTACACCCGAGGATTCCCCACGAATGGGGTGTACACACTTGAACTCCAGATGGAGAGTGCTAATCTTTCGAGTACAACTGATGAGTCTCGAGTACAACCGATGAGTCTCGAGTGGGTGTAGGTTCGGCTTGCAGTCACTTGGTTTCCGTCTAGCAGCGAAACCGTTACAAATTCAACATGAAGCACACACAGCGAGAGAAACAACGGGCCAAAAGGACTTTGAATCACACGAGATGCACAGGTACGTCGAGGTGATCAGCCTCGATATCCGCATTTGCTGTGGCCGCTTCGTTGGACCATCGCACACAGCAAATGGATGGTCCCCCTGCTGACGAAGAAAAGACTGGTGGCAGGGTTTTCTGCCACTCCGCACACACACACACAAACACACACACACACACACACACACACACACACACACACACACACACACACACACACACACACACACACACACACACACACACACACATGCGCGCCTCAAAAGCTTAACCACAAACTCCTCAAGCCACAAGCAAGTGCTTAAGTCATCCAAAACCGGAGCCCGATCTGTTTTTCTTTCAGACCTCTCTCTTCAGAGCCCCTCCTTCCCCTTACGCGTCATCCAAGGCGCTCAAAGGTGCCACCGCAGTGATGCCCCGGTTGCTGTGGACTTCGTCGTCCCAGTCGATCTCCTTGGGGAAGGCCTCGAGAGGAATTTCAGGCGAGGCAGGACCCAAAGACCCAAAGTGTCGAATCTCAGGCCACTTTTGTGACAGCCGGGTTTGCCTTACAAGCTCTTGCCACCCTGTCACAGCTTCTCTTGCCCTTGCCTCGGCTTTTGCAAACACCTGGTGACATGATGCAAAAAGCCTAACAAGGCCAAGCCCTTCCAAAGGGGAAAGCAGGCGTTCCCAGGAAAAAAGAAAGAAAGCTGCCCGGGGTTCAGGACACTCGTACTTGTGAGCATTCGCCGCATGTGCACCAGAAATGCTTCACCATGTGATGGTCAAGGAACTGATGCTTGGATTCCTTGGTTCACGACCTAAGCCTATCCATTTCGAGCCCGCACATCCCCATGAGGAATCCACGACCCATGTTCCGGATCGACTTTCCGGATGGCCCAGGAGGTTTCCCAGCTTTGGGGGGATCCCCTACATCGCCCTCAAAGGAAAATCCTTCCGGCCAGGGGAAAGGGAGCCAACACCCGGCCAGAGGAAAGGGAGCCATCCCCGTGGCTTTTCGCCCTACAAGCGCAAAGGACCTCCACCTCAAACCGCCTCCTGGCTTCGCTCCCCTCAAAGCCCCCATACGTCTGGATCATCTGGACGCCCGCTGAGGTCTCCGCCATCTCCCAGATCTTCTGGAAAATGCCCTTCTCCTCCACCGGCAGAGGCACCGGCGGGGTCTGCACCAAAATCGCGAACAAGTCCTCGGACAGCGCGCGGCGTCGGCAGGTCGGCAGCAGCCCGGAACACCCAAGAACCAAAGCTGGTGTCATCCAATGGGCTTCTGGGAGTGGCCGCATGGCTTCGTTGGCAACCCAAAGAAGAACAAACAACTCAGCTGGATGGGCCATCGTCTTGATTGAAATTGACGTGGTGAGTTCAAAAGTATCGTTTTGGCTTGCCTTTGCAAGGGACAGGTTGCTCTTTTCTTAACAGAATGTCTCACGCCTTTGCAACATCAAGTGCGAATGTACGATGACAGTCAGACAGGGAAGAGTCCTGCAAAGAACATCAAACAAAAAGTGGTTTTGGAAAAGTGACATCGCCCTTGTTCTCCCTGAAGCCATGCGGGTTCACTGTCTGGTTTCAACACAGAATCCCAAATGATAGCCAGGGTTGAAGGGTCCACCCCCTCTAGGGTCATGAGCATCTCACTGGATCTATACATATGATTATAATACATGTTCTTGTTTCGTTTTTGTTTGTGCGGGGTCCCTGCAAAAGGGACAAGCCCAAAGTTCAAATGCCCCTTTCTTCAAAGCGGCACACGTGTTCACCCTTATCGCACTCCTCCCAGGTGCGCTTCGCTCAGTTCACACGACCCCGGCCTGTCCAAGAGTCTTATGTCGGGCACCAGCAAACGTGGCGCTGTTTGCTGGCTCATCTTTGGCTGGAAGGCTAGAGTTAAAAGCTCAACTCAGCAACCTGAGCCAAGTGTTAAATCACCTTCCTCATGGGTGAGCTCATCCCCCCCCCCCCCCCGGCTGGAGCCGGCAAGTGGCGTAGGAAGCATGTGTGATGTCGTACTTCCAGATCCTGGCCAGACACAGCAGCTTTTTCGGTCGAATGTGCCATGGTCAAAACTCCGGTCACCATCAATGTGTAATTCTCGTGGAACCCTCAGATGGTGAGTTTCGGGTTTGGGTGCCCTTCAAAACTTGCCAAAAACTTGCCCTATTTGAGACAAACCCCAACAGGAAGCCGTACAAACGGTGACTGAAGGTCTGAGTAAATTGATTGATGACCGTGCATTGCAATTCCGCACCTCATGCAGAACTCTGTCAAAAAGGAGCGCTTCGCATCAATCGGACCCGAAAAAGCGAAGCACGCTCCATATATACCGAAATCCCGGAATCCAGAAGCGGAGTCTCGATTGCAACGCCTCCAGCCCCTCCTTCCCCCACAAGCGCATGCTCTTGCCTAAAGCACCTTTTCTTCACTCAGGCAAGCAAGAAAACAAAACCCCAGCCACCCCCACCCCACCCACCACCACCCCACCCCACCCCCACCCCACTCACCCCCACCCACCTCCACCCACCCCCACCCCACCCCCCGCCTCACGGTGTAGTCCACCCCCCCGGAGACCACAAAGTCCGCCGCCGCCGAGGCGTCCACACAGGTCACGCGGCCCTGGTGCCCTGCGACTGACGCGACTGACCCGCTGACACGGCGCGACTGACTCGCACCGAAGGAGACGTGGAATGACCCACCAGAAAGTCCACCCAACCGGTCCCAAGAAAGTCCATCCAACTGGTGGTGTTTCCTTCAAGGGAATCCCAAAACGGCTCATTCAACCACATTCCCTACCTATCTCACCAGCAAGCCAAGCAAATCGCTGATCCGGAGATAAGCAAAATACAAACAAAATGGCATTTCAGCCGCACATGCGCTGTTTTCTTGAGCCAGCCAAATGGGACCAACTTATTTGTGGAAGTGTGAGCATCACTTCCGCTCCACTGAAAGAAGGTCGCGTTACTGAAGGAATGAAACAACGCGCACTCACAATTCTTTGAGCGAACATCACAGTTTGGATGCTTTCGTGCTTGCATGCCGGTGAGGGCTGATAACTTTCCCCGGCCGCCAACCACTCTGATGTGTGTTTTGTTTGTAGCGCATCAATCAAACATCTCTGGCATACTTTGTTCGGAATCGATTAAGTGCTCATATTCTGCAAAACAAACGAACCATTCGCGCGCACAAGCATCAGCCGCGCACAAGTTACGATGTCCACGACATCAATACAAGGGACTCCCAAAAGCATCTAATCCGTCGCTCGCATCATGAAAGCTACCCTGGAAAGAAAAGGATTTTTTCCGGGGCAGGGAACAGTTTACAAGCAAGGCTCCAAACGAATTGTCGGCTTTCTTGCCGCAGGGAGTTGTGCTGGCGAGCCTGCCAGACCGCTCGCGAGTAAAATCCCCCCCCCTTCCCCAAAGGTTTTGAGTCGCCATCGACTATGAGAACCAGAGGTCCAGATCAGGTCTGTCCATGATTCCCTTTTGGGTTGCTTTCAAAGGAAGGACCAGGGAGGAAAACCCACCCATGAGGCAGGCAAATCCATGTCCGACTTGTAAACATCAAGCCAACGCGCATATCCAGCAACACCAGCTCCAAGAGATTGAACCGCACCTGGCTCCCTGGCTCCTTTGACCTTCGCTCGCTCGCAGCCCGGAGGTCTAACCAACTTCCAGCCTCGCGTGAAGAAGTGCCGGAGCATGTCCATGAGGCTCCTCGGGTTCGTGTGGCTCCCCTTTACCAAGGAAGTCCTGAAATATTTGGAAGAAAGTTTTCAGGGAACATCAACGTCGGTTGAGGATCCTCAAGGGGGTGAGTCCAACATCTCCCAGTTCAAAGGAGTGGGGACATCAAAGTTTTCGAGTACCCGATGTAGATCGCTAAGAGTTTCAAGCAGGGGACACACCTGAAAAGTGAATCCGTAGACATAAATCTAATGATACCCACCCAAAGAGTCCCAACTGAAACTCACAGCCATGTGGGTTGATCAATATTCCGCTCGGCCCCCGAATGCCCATAGGTAACTTTTCCCATGTGATTGAAATAGAATCCTCCCATGTGGTTGTCCAACCGATGGTTATCCCATGTAAAGTCCCATGTATGTGTCTCTAGATGTGCCACTAAACCCCAAGCTTCTGGGTCAAGTATAAAGTGTCACCAGCCAGGTCCATCCACAGATTCCAATTTCATGAAGGAAAACCGATCGAATAAAGCCAAAAAGCATGCCTGTTCCCATTCCCCCCAAAAAAACAACAACAAGGGGAAGCGTAAACAAGCTAACCTTAGAGCAAAAAATGCAAATTGGTGGTTTCTTTGCGGTTTCCTTTTCGAAACACCCCGGATGCTCGGCAATATATATTTTGTAGTGGTTGGGGACAAATGGAAGGCCCCTTTCGTCAAAAACAAACGCAAAGCGGGATTTTGAAACCCAGGCCAACATTTTGGCAGTTGTTGATGACACATTTGTACTCGTGGAAGGGTCTCATCCGACCGTCTCTCATTTTCTGCGCAGTGTGCATGTCTGTTAGCGTATGGCATGACAGGGTAAGCAACAAAAACAAGGACACTGAAGTACCAAGCACAACCTGGAGTACACAAAAACAAGGCGAATTCCTCCCACTTTTTGGCCTGCATCCTAGGCATTCATGGGAAAATCCACTATATCAGGCGTCCAACGGTTCACGGCCGAAATACATGCCATAATTCTTATGTGTTTGAAGCCTGTGCCTGTCCACTGAAGTGGCACCACTATTTTGCTGGAAGAAACACCCAATCTGAAGCAACTCTTTCCTTGGCTTCATGTCATGGTCGGCTCTGGCAAGCGTTGCGTTGCATGCGATGCCAGCGATCCCAATCTAGTCACCTTGAGAATTAGAGCACCAGTGGATGAAAATAAGCTTCGTCAAAACCAAAAAGGCTTGAGAGCCTGAATATTAGAGCATGCTGGGCTCCTGCTTCAAAATAAGCCCTGTATAAACCCGTATAACCTATTCACTATTATGGCCCGCTATACTAGGCTTCCCTTGGCGCTTCCTGCAAGTTTCACCCCTACTCAACTGACATGGGGCACCGGCACTCCACTGACAGCCCAAAAAGACATAGATATCACTAGGTGAACAAATGGCTGTGGGTCAAAACCAATGATACCATTTTGGGATAGGTGCACCACCCATTTTAGTCTATTTTAGTGGGGATTGGGATGTTCACTGGGGTACGGGGTTTTGACCCATGGCCAAATAGGTTTTTCGACAACCGTTCTGTGACACTCCCCTGCAAACTTTTCAGCATGGGCATTGCTTTTTGTTGGTCCATTGGGTCCATGTGAATCTGCAGGGGAGAACCCTCTGAAAATTGACAAGTAGTCATGGAGAGTCGATGAAAATACTTTACCACTGCAAACTGGCGAGTGGAAAAGCCGGAGGATTTGCCAATCAGATCCATCCATTCCACCAAGGACCAAACCTCGGGGCGGGTCTGGTTGTTTTGCGCCCTAAGCTCGCGCCCTAAGCTCGCGATCAAGGAGATTCCTCGAAATTTCTCGGAGTTTCAGTCTGAAACGACCACAAAGCACCAAACCTTTTTCTAACCCTGGAGGTTGTGGAAAATTGGAGGCATGGACCTCGTAGGAGCCAAAGAGTGCCACAAGTTCAGAGGGCTCAACCCTTCGAGCAAAACCTGTCGACCTGGCCCCGATTTGGCCCGTCCGATTTGGTCCAAGGGGTACCGTGCGGGGCTCTCAAAAAGGAAAAACCGGACCTGTGTTGAAAGTGTGTTGCTTCTAGGGAAACACAAAAGGAAACCATAGCCTTCTACATGTGTGCTCCTGTTCTTTGAAACACCCATTTTGTCTTTCTTGCGATGTGCCATTTGGAGTACGTGTAGTATTCTCCAGTTGGCCCGAACTAAGGTCCCCTACTGCAGGAGCCAGAAGGCGGGCCGTGGCTTCCCAGTTCCATTCATCTGGTTCCCCCAAAAGGAAGAAATTATGAATAGCCGGGAGGGGGCGGATGGGGGGGGGTTGGGGGGGGGGGGATGGTGGGGGCGATGGGGGGTTGGGCGGGGGTGGGGGAAAGAAAAGTAAACGAGGATGTTGCCAAAGTTGCTGCAGACCTCAAACGGGCCCTTGCCAGAGCCGACAAGAATTCCGAGGCGAACCCAGTTCGGCCCACGCCCAGTGGGTCAGGTCGTCCACAAAGCTAACCGAGGCGCTGGTCGCCACGGGCAGTGTAGGCGTGCTCCACAATACTCTTATCCCTTAGAGTTGTCCAGCTCGGTTCAACGACATGGCCATGGGTCAAAACCCCGGTTAATCCCCAGTAAACATCCCAATCCCCACTAAAATAGATCAAAAAATGGGTGCACCTACCCATTTTTTTGTACCATTGGTTTGACCCACAGCCACATCTCTTGGCTCTTGATCTCTCTTTGTCTGGTTGGTCTCTCTTGCTTTCTGTTCTCGCAAAACAGCTCTTCTCTCTCAGTGGCCTCGATTGGTCTCTCTTGGTCTCTTTTCGGTGTTTTTGTTGACCCTCCCGACAGGGCTCCTGATTTAGGGCATCTCACAACAGAAACACAAGAACAGTCAACTAGAACAACATTCAAGAGCTATGGTAGGTGCGCCTATTGAGCCAAGTGTAACATGCGCACGAAAAGTGTACCTAGCAACACTCGCAAAGGCACCTGTGACTGACGGGAGGGCATCCCAGACATCAACAACTCACCCGTTGATCTCCAATTGTTGAAGGCAACAGCCCTTTGTGCGTTGAAAGACATCAAGCATCCGATCGGGTAAGATTCATGCTGAGGAAGCTGTGCACATTGATCATTCCACTGACCCTTCAGATCCAAATGGCATTCGGCTCCGAGAAACCGGTCTCCAAACCACCTACAGCCAGACCCGACCTGCAACCAATCTTAATCCTGAAATATCAGCCCCCAAAAAGAGGAGGCGTCTCCTGTGTCCAACCCAGCTGCATCCCAAGAACACAGCCCTAATTTATCGTCCCCACGTTTTGGGGGCCCTATCCTGTGGAATTCAGTGGGGAAACGCCCCGAGAAACTCAGTCAAAGCAACGTCAGGCAGGCTTTGCCCCGCCCAAAAACTGATCTGGCCACCAGAATCAAGTGAACCAAATACAAGAATTGTATCCGGACAAAGCCCAGAGTTCTTTTTTGGTCGAACATCCTGAACGTGTTCAAAAGGAGCCGATCACATGTGCTGCTATTGGGCTTGAAACCATCAACTGCTGTTTTGGATTGGTGGCTTGGCGGTCAAGCCCATTTACCTGTGCAAGAATAGAGGTTCAAATGCAAATCCAATCGAGCAACCAACCCAAACCACCAACCCAAACGACTTTGAATAGAGAAGCCAGCCAAAATACGTACCCAAACCATTCTGCAACCTTTCTTGAAGCTGAGATGGATGGGCTTGGCGCCTACGGTGGGTGAATCCTAAAGTGTGCAATGCTCTGTTGTGTTTCATCTTTCAGCCCCGGCGGCCGTCAAATCCAAAAAGCCGACGCACCCAAATCACGCCTGCCTATGAGACACCAAACTCCTGGGCGGACTTGTCTACCAATTTTGCTGTCTCCAAAACCAGGGGCTGTGCTGGAACCCCCCCCCCCCCGCTCCCTTCGGTGCCGGAGGGCTCTTCCAACAGCAGCTCTTTGGCTTCGTCCGCCATGGTGCGGAAAAAATCAGAGCGGAGGAGCAGGGAGCGCAACCCTTTGGGCCGAATTTGAGATGCGAAACGCTGCGGACAAGATTCGACTTCGACGAGTCTGACGGCCAGAATGGAAAAGAGCATAGAAGGGAAACGAGGATCGCCAAAGAGGTACGATTTCGTCAAGGCCTGAACCCCACAGAACACCAACTGAGGTGCAAAACCCAGTCTTGAGACAGCTCCACAGGCCCCCAGTCTCGTGAGTGCCACGCCTGGAAAGCATTCCGAAGTGAGTCATGGTCGAAACCATTATCCGGGGCCCGGTGAAAATATGCTGGGATCTCCCAAGAAACACACACTTGCTGGGAGGAAATCGGCTACGGCGCCAAGCCATGCCTATTGGGTCAAAGCCCAAGTGAATGTCTTCCCATTGACAGGTCGTCTTAAATAAACTCGCTGGTTCACCGCAGGCAAGGGAACGATCCCCTGAGCCAACCCAGCTGGTTGTCCTTTAAGCGGATCCCAATCGGTTCATGCTGCCAACATCCAGCCACAAACAAATCCCCAACCGCGCAAAGCGTCGCTCAATTGGGCCCTGTGCTCGAATCTCTAGGCAAAACGAAATCGACAAATTTCCCCCCAACAAAAACAAACAAAGAAATGAGACGCCCAATGTTTGGAAAGCCTATCTGAAGGGCGCCCTGTGTTCAAGGCCCATGGTTTGTCTCAAATTATCGTCATCCATTGACCTTTTTTTTTGCCTGTTGAGCCTCAACATGCAGGAACCACACCCGCATTTGCCCCAACGTGGACAACCAGTCGCCCCATTCTAACATCATCCCAAAGGGAGGGTGCCTCATTTGGGTATCATTTCTGGGTGGCATGCTTCCGTTTGGCTGGCATTAAAGAGGAACAAAAGCGAAAGCAACCATCTTGTCTTGCAGGTCCATGTCTTCATTTGCGGGGAATGTTTTTTGTTGTCTCATTTGGAGACAAACCCATTTTGGTCCACTAGCGTCGAACGACCGCCAGGCCCTCTCCCTCCAGGATTCCCGCAACAGGCAGTCTTAGACATCCAACCTATTGACCTCCAAAAGGCGACGAAGCATTAAACACGCAATACAGCATCAAGCCGCCCCAAAACCGCTCAATTAAATACTGCCAACCAATTGTGTGACGTTTGAACCAAGGGAAATCATATTGCCAACCAAAAGGTGACGATTGAACCAAAAAGAACAACACAAAAAAATGGGACCTCGAGGACTCTCCTTGCCCACCCACCCCCTCGCCCCCTCTCCACCGCCTCGCGGCAGCGGAGGCGGAAGGCGCACCCCCTCGGGGGTGAAAACCCAAGCGGCGGTTTGGCTGAAACCCCAAATTTCTTGGTTGACGTTGGAAGGGGAGCAAAAATGCTCAAGTTTTTGCAGCTCAGTGGTTGGGTTTCAACCACTAAACCGCAACAAGCAAAAATGTCTCAAATGTTTCCCAACAACAATGAAATCTAGTCCGGTGCCAAGTGAACCCGGTTGAAAAGGCGCCAAGTGAACCCCCTGACTGCGATTGAAGAACTTGCTGCCCCACTCCAAAGGGGCAGGCAGCAAGAAACAGGTGCTCAGAACAGCACAGCAAAGTGAGCGACTTTCATGCAGTCAGCAAGCAGAGCCTCATCTAGACGGTCACCTCATAACCTAGCCATGTAAGTTCACGCATGACACCAACCATTTGGATGAGAGCCCTAGTTATGTGGCAAAAAAACTCGGGAGAAAAAAAAGAAGAAAGGGAGAAGAAAAAGAAACGCCCGCGTCTTATAGAAACTATGGGTGTCCAACTATGTTTTCTTTTTCCTTTTTTTATGCCGTTACTGCTCCCTTGTGCCAAGATCTGCCAACTCCTTTTTGCTGGGCGTTTCAGGCGACCTCGGGCCAAGCCTTGGCAAGCCTTCCTTCGAATCGGCCAAGCTGAATCGGCCACATGGCCCGGCGCAAAGAAAATATATTTCTAGGCCCGCAGGATTCGAAGTCTGAAAACATCGCAATGAGTCGGTGTTCTATTGGTTATGCCCATTTTTCCGAAGCGGGTGCTGGGATGCCCGTGTCTCTGCAGTCCCGGAGACCCGATGAGGCTCTGAGGAGTCCAAGGGTTTCACACCCAAACCGAATGGTCCCTGAGCTCTCCTTAAAAAAAACTTTAGAAAACTCGGCTTGAAACTCATTTTTGGCTTTCCAACAATCACATCAGGAGGGAATACAGTGCGCAAATCTGTTCATGAATCCTTTCGGAAAGGTGGCCTGTAGACCTGCACACTATGTTCAGGTCGCTAGCCCTGATTGGTTTGCACACTCGTGTTTTGGATCAATCCTCTGTATCGTGTCTTGGGAATGCCTTTCCTGGTACGTCGAAATGAATTGCCTGAACAGCATACACATCTACTTGGCCCGCAGCTCGTCAACGTGGGACCGCATTCTCGTCACACCTTCCTTGTCCCAAACTATGGGGCTATTTCAATTTCTAGGGCCTTTGAGGCTGGTTTAACAGGAAATACCCTTTCCGGGCCCGCCTATTTTGCCATCTTTTTGAGGTACTCTTTAGCCACCATGCTCCCAAACAAGACCCATCAGCAAACCCTAGCCGTTCCGATCTCCGCCCCGCATCAATGAGTGAACCGGACCCGCCCCTCCTTGCCATCGCGAAGGACCAGCTCGTTCTCACCTTGCAAGGCCCTCACCCTACCGGGATTCACCAAGCTGTACGAACGTGAACTCGGTTGCTTTCTGCTCACCTGCTACAAGTTTAACTTTTAGTGGTTTAATGGAAAACCCATTAGTTGGAAAAAAATCAAAGTCCTAACATCCAAGCAAAATGCCCCAATGTGAAACAAGTGGCCCTGATTGAAGCTTTGGCTAAGTTCTTTGGAGGAAACAAAGAGGTGAGCTGTCACTACCCCGACCCGGGAAAAAAAAGGAGACAAAAAAAGAAAAAAATCCTAGGAGAACCTCCAGAACAAAGGTCCATGCTCCCAGGGCTTACTTTACAGTACCTTGAAAGGACAACCCCTGAGTAGCGCCCAGCCCCACAAAGAAGTACACATGTATCGAGTCTGAGCCTTGAAGTCGAAATGGAGCAGGTCAAGGCTTGGGGCCGGAACTCTGGCCACTGCTAGCTGCACATGGGTCCAAGAAAGAAAACCACAAATGTCGAGGTCCCTTATTCTGACGCATGCCCCGAATTCCTAACCACCAGTCAAAGACCCACCAAGTCAAAAGGACCGCCCCAAAAATGTTGCAAAAACCCACCAATAGTGGGGTTGTATTCATCTGACAGGAGGCGCGTGAGCGTTCACATCATCAGACAAAAACTCTGCTTTGTTGTTCACAAGATGATGATTTTCAGCTTGTATGATTACTCTTGAGGAACGCCGTATGCGGGCTTGTCCCCAACTTCGAAAATAGGTGGCCTCGCTTTGGTGTCCTTTTCAACAACCAAAAACAGGGCGCTGCGAAGCCAGGCTGCTGCCCGAATCCTGGATGGCGTTCAACCTCAGCCAGTCGATTTACTTGGGGAACCCCTGCGCAACAACCAATAAAATTTGGAGGTGCAACGCGAACCGCCCAATTCAACCTACGCAGTTGCGCTTTTGACAAACGGACAAGTTCGCCGAAACTGCGAGCGTCCAGCATTTAAGTCAAACTTTGTGGATTGCACGCAAAGGGAGCTAATAACGCAGAATGGATACGCCCACTATTGGCACGGTCCACTATCTCTCTGAATCTATCCCAGAACAGATTCGCAAGCATCATGTCATGCAGGTTGAAGAAATGCAGGATGCGCCCTGGTAGTCCTTTGTGTCTATCGAGCAATCCCAAATATGAACGACATACATGGATGCGAGAAGACCCATGTGGAAACAAAAAAGGGAACAAATAGCATAGTTGTAATTGACCTTGCGCCGAGTTACTGTAGAATTGCTGTCATGCGACCCTGAGAAACTCCGTGACCATTTTGTCAGAAAAAATCGCGACGCGCTGACCCTTGCTGTATGAAGGCAGCTCGCGCTGTCTAAAGTGTCGTGTGGAAACATTGACCTGCTGACGGCGTTCATGACAATGAATCTCAGTCGAATTCAAATACAATTGCAGGTGTTGAGGTTGCGCAATGGGTCTATCGACTGGTTTCATTTAGGCTTGCAGTGTGTCTGAAAGTTTGACCATCCGTTGCAGTCAATCCATTCCTGGTCACTACACTGAGGAGCACCGCGCCAGCCCTTCCATTCTGCTGTGAAAAAAAAAATGGACGATCCCCTTGTTCTTGCCACGGTAAAACATCCTCATGTTCGGCGGGGGGTGATCGCGCTCGTGACATCTCCTGCGCGTGCCAAGCAAACATGTGTAGGCTGTATGTTGTTGGGATCGACTTGTCCGTCTGCAAGGTCAAAGTGGCACCCATCGCAACGGTCCAAGAGCTGCTGTGGATGGAGAGCTGTTGTTTGTCGAAAATTCAACTCAGCTTGCTGTTGCCCTTAACGAGGCATCCAATCGCTGTTGCGCTGTTCTGGTTCCACGAAACCCGGCCTTGGCCCCTGTGCTGGGGCAGCCTTTGAAGAAGCATTGGGCCTCGTTGACGCAAAGGATGTGTGGAATTGCGTGTGAGACTGTGGATGTTGGGCCGCCGGATCCACACGTTCCAAGGATGCGATCTCACCAGCAGCGCGTTCATTTCTCAGCGACTTTGGATCTTCTGTGTACCGCTGAAGGATATCTTGATAGATCTTCTGCGTCGGCTGAAATCCTGTCGCGAAGCTCGCATCCTGGCTTGAGACTTCCAGGGGCAAGAATCTCGCACTATTCCTCGTCGGAAGGCGCGCGCGCCATGAGAGAATGGTCGCGAAGGATAGCCATGGTCTCCGGGCGGTGGCACTGGTGGCAACGGGTCCTGGCATGTATGGACGCAGGCAGTTCCTGCCGCAACTGTTGGTATCAAGTCCTTCCATGATGACTTGAGTCTTCGAAGAGCAACTGGTTGAAGAAGCTCTTCAAGTAGTTCACTGCCTAGCAGCTCATGGATCCGCTTTGAGGAGAGGTCTCCGTTCTCCTGT